CCACCCCCAGTCCCAGCCTGCAGCTGCAGCCCACCCTCATCCTAATATGGCTTGTTAATAGTTAGCCACTGGTATCAGCCCCCCCAAAATATTTTAAAAAAAAATCAGTGCACCCCTAGTTTGTACATTTTCTAATTACATGACAACTACATTTCAGAGAAGCAATAGTTTTCAAAAGGCTTAGCTTATTTTAAGCTTGTTCATTTTCACTTTGTGAACTACTGGAGCTACAAGTACCGAGCTTTACTCAAGCAAAAATTTCTATGAGTCTCTGGCAGTATAACTTGCTTAATCTTTCCCTCCATCAGACCATAGAATAAAGACCTTCTGGCTCTAAAGGCAATTTAAAAGCTATTCAAGACTTGTATTTAAATTACAATAAACTATGAAGCAAAAATTATTAGTTCTGCAGATGTTAACTAGAGCTGATAAACGCCCCCTTTATCTCTTGATTGCCCAATGAAGTGAATGCTTTCAGATCAGCATCCTAAATCAGGTTATTACTACATGCAATCAAACCAAATGCATTTTCAGGAAAAGAGAACAAACAGCAAATGCACAAGATGTGCCTGCAGGTTAACTCACCACTTTGGAATTCTCCTTGTAGCGAAACGCAAGCTGGTACGCAGCAAAGACCAGAGGTGGTAATGTAAAACGAATACGCTGGTTCCCACCTGCGCCAAAGTGTTTCCTGGCTGTGTTCAAGATCTAACAAAGTGAAAGAAAGAAGTTAGAAGCATCCTGAAGAAACAAGACCTTTTGGACAACAATAGTAGAATGTGTCCCTTCTGGGGACTAGAGACTTTACATATGCATGTGTACCTGGGGTTAGACATCTACAAAGAAATGACAGAACTGTAGCAAAACTGCTGGGAACTTAGGAGCATGCTGGCACGGGGGTGGGGGAGGTAGGCAAGCTTGTTGAAGCTTTGACCCCACTTCATTCAGGGTCAAAATTACAACAATTTTAGTTCACATCTAAACAGTGAAGGATCCTGCTGATAGAGCAGTCAAATACCTTACCCAAGCTGCAACAATCCTTCCCTTCTTAAAGCAGTTAGACCTTACATCTGTGCATCACCCCTAAAATAAGACCAAGAACTATACAAAAAGGGTCCTCCTGTGGACCTGAGCCAGCTGCAATAATATGCAATTACTCCTTCCATAAGAAGAGCAGCCACACTGCAAGTCACTCAAGCTATGCAGAATCATAGTTTCATAGTTTCTAGGGTCAGAAGGGACCTGAGAAGATCATCTAGTCCGACCCCCTGCCATGGCAGGAAAAAGTACTGGGGTCAAACGACCCCAGCAAGGTGGTCATCTAACCTCCTCTT